AGGTCAACTGCGTATGGAGAACAAACAACTCTATTATAATGAAATACTGATTGTATACATGAGCAATAAAGTGTTTAGAGCGCAGTTGGACTGCTGAAATCTTTACAACTTCGATTTATGAAACTTGGCATGGACGACGCTTTATTCTGGACTTTTAAATAGTGATAATAAAGTGATAGCGATGGGTCAAAAAGTACCCCAAGATCAGTATTATAGATAACGCGTGTGACAATGTTATCTAAAATAATTATAGGTTTGTGTGTTACGTTTTTTATAGAAGGTGACCTAGCATTTGAAAATGCCTAAGAATAAATTATTTTCATTACACCAACAATAGAGATTGTTTAAATACTGCTGAAGCAGCTCAGCATCATAAGGGGAACATATAATTAACTTACCAACTTGTCATGTTTGGTTAATGTTTCGATACTTTTGTGTGTCTTCTACATATGTTGCCATAATGAACGTTTTTGGGGCACTATTTAAATTATATTCAATGTCTTAAATAATATTTTGGCTCTAGTTTAATTTCACGATAATTTTTAGTAGTTCCAAATATACAGTAGATGAGATTAGGATATTATTAAAGTAATTTAGTAGATGATAACGAACCAAATAATTAAAATAATATAATCTTTATCCTCATAGTGTCGTATTATGTTAGCTTCGATGCGAAGTTGAGAAGATATTGGTTTTACTATGATGTGTTTTTTTTTTGTGTGTCTGTTACCACTTTTTCTCAGCTCTCACCGAACGGATTTCTTGCAACGATACGTCAAAAGAGCACAAATCGTATCTAGTCGAAGACTTTACCCTCAAAAATTAAAAAAATTTCCATCGTTCCCCGTAAATGAGGGAAACCTCCAAAAAAATTACAATTTTAAAAATCGCTAATTTTCGATATTTTTTCAATTTTTTTCGAATAAATCAAAATAATTTTTTTTTATAGATGCTTGATGTCTTTACCTATAATTTGGTATATTTTTTTTCTAAATCTGACACTTAACCTGCCCACATGAAGGAATTTACAATGATAACTTTTTCACAAAAAATTAACTTTTTCAACTTAACTTTTGAAAATGTTTCGGAAGGTCTGACACTTTTATATATATCTTAAATTAAAGCTAATGTAATATACTTTAATTTGAAAAAAAAAAAAATTGACCACTGGACTTCGTGGTGAAAATGGCTACCAAATGCTATTTTTTTGTGGAAACTCTCGATTTTATTTTTTACATTTTTAACTTTATAATGCTATAACTTATTGAAAAGTGTACGGATCAACACAATTTTTTTATGAGAAATAATATTTTTTAATAATCCCTTTTTCATTCAGGGTATTAATAAGAAAATAGCAGATCATGTAGCTTTTGGAATAAACCACCAATTTTTTAAATTGAAACACTATCTAAAAATTTGCAAGAAGCGTTTCTTATGATAGTGATTTTAATCATTGTCAGATATCATTATACTTGACCCAACTATGCAACGTCACCACTATGCCGCGACCCACCTGTGCTGGGTTGTTTATTTAATGCAATTATAGAAAAAATATTCCATTCTGAATATTGTTGTGAACTTGGTTTTTTGCAACCAGACAAGCATTTAGTCCTTCTAGAACATTCGACGCTTGCTAAGCCCTTTTCAATACGTAAGGCCTACGGTTGCCACCGATTGAGGCGACTCATGAATAGTCGTCATCTATTTGTTCAAGAATCATAGACAAGACCNCGTGGTCACGCCGTCAAGTGCTCAATACCATCTATTAAGGTCGTCGTGGGAGAGACGAAATACGACGGTTTACTACGGGAATTTCCAGAGATCACTCGACCGTTTGGGACCCTGAAGGATATCAAACACAGCACTAAACACTTTATCCCGACGACACAAGGACCCCCGGTATCTTGTAAACCACGACGCTTAGCACCTGATAAGCTTAAGGCAGCAAAAAAAGAGTTTGAAGCTATGGTCCAACTAGGCATTATCCGACCATCCCAAGGACCTTGGTCATCACCATTACATCTAGTACCAAAGAACAAAACAGATGCATGGCGTCCTTGTGGGGATTACCGCGCTCTAAATGCCCGGACTATCCCAGATCGGTACCCTGTTCGTCATATACAGGACTTCGCGCACTTTCTCCACGGTAAAACGATTTTTTCAACTATCGACTTGGTTCGAGCGTATAATCAAATCCCTGTAGCTGAAGAAGACGTCCCTAAAACTGCAATTGTGACACCATTTGGACTTTACGAATTCCTCTTTATGTCTTTTGGACTTCGAAACGCAGCACAATCGTTCCAACGATTTATTGACGAAGTACTCCGTGGACTTGATTTTTGTTTCAGTTACATTGACGACATACTCGTGGCATCTGTTTCTGAAGAAGAACACATCAAACATTTACAGATCATTTTTGAGCGACTACGCGAATACTCTCTGGTTCTCAATCCTAAAAAATGCGTTTTTGGACAACCAGAAGTAAAGTTTTTGGGCTACATGATTTCTAAAGAAGGAACACGTCCTCTACCTGATAGAGTCGCTGACATATTGAGCTACAAGAGGCCAACGTCAGCTAAGGGTCTACGACAGTTCTTAGGTATGTTAAACTTCTATCGTCGTTTTATACCTAGAGCTTCAGATGCACAATCACCACTAAGTGATCTCTTAGTACCTAATCTAAAAGGTAAAGCACCTATTAATTGGACACCAGAAGCAATTTCAGCGTTCGAGAAATGCAAGGAGGAACTCGCCACAGCCACGCTTCTCGCGCACCCATGTGACAACGCTCGACTGGCTATTGTAAGCGACGCTTCAAACACAGCGGTTGGCGCAACTCTCCAACAGTTCATCAATGACGAGTGGCAACCCCTCGCCTTCTTTTCCAAGAAACTCACGGCGACTGAGACAAAATACGGAGCTTACGATCGAGAACTTCTTGCGATCTATCTCGCTGTCAAACATTTTCGGCATATGGTGGAAGGACGCGAGTTTGTTATATACACCGATCACAAACCTATCACTTTCGCATTTCAACAGAAATCGGATAAGTGCACACCACGACAATTCAGACACTTGGACTTTATTTCACAATTCACCACGGATATTAGGTACGTTCCTGGTAAACAGAATATCGTGGCTGATACCCTATCACGCGTGGACGCATTATCAGACACGTTAGACTACACTGCTTTAGCAATGTCACAACAGGGAGACGACGAATTGAAAAAGTATGCACAAGAAAACACCGGATTGCGACTTAAGCAAGTGGAATTACCAGGCACNTTTTTTTAATATTCCTCACTTAATTTAAAATCAAATTTAATATAAATAAAATGTAAAATACATTAAATATTCATCTTAATTTTTCTTTTAATTATATACGTATTT